AGAAAAATGGAGAGAGGGAGGAAGAAAGGAAAGAAGGAAGGAAGGAGGGAGAGTGGGAAGCAGGAAGGAAGGAAAAGAGAGGGAGAAAGGAATGGAGGGAGGGGGAGAAAGAGGGAGGAAAAGGGAGAGTGGGAGGGAGGGGGGAAAGGAAGGAAGGAAGAGAGGAAGGAAGGAAGAAAAAGGGAGGAAAGGAGGGAGGAAGGAAGAGAGGAAAAGGGAGGGAGGAAGAAAGGAAAAGGAGGAAAGGGAGGGAGGAAGAGAGGGAAGGAAGAATGGGAGGAAGGAAAAGGGAGGAAAGGAAGGAGGAAAAGTTAGAGAGGGAGGAAGAAAGAAGGAGGGAGGGAGGGAGAGTGGGAAGTAGGAAGGAAAGAAAAGAGAGGGAGGGAGGAAAGGAAGAAAGGGAGGAAGAAAGGAAGGAAAGAAGGAAGAAAAGGCAGGAAAGGAGGGAGGGCGATCCCCTTTTGCGACCTTCTGCCAAACTAAGCCAGATTAGATCACTTAATCTTACTAAACTTAACAACCGCAGCGATTCATTTAACGACAGTGGGCCGGAAAGGCCGTACAGTGGGGCCCCTCTCCCTCAACCAACGTTCCGCTTAGCAGCAGACATGTTGGGCTGGGTGGTGGCCATAAACCGAGGACTTCTCTCTGACCACCGTTTTCTTTCTTTCTCCTCTTCTGTCTCTCTCCGATGTCCAGTATGGTTTATACCCTGGTGAGTTTCTAACCGGGCCAACCGAAGGGGCAGGACCCTCGGATCGACATCCCCGCTCCCCCCCACCCCCTTCGGTTCCTCCGGGATGAATCGAGACCCCCACCCACCCACCCAACCAACCTTCTTCCTGGAGGATGAAACGCTAAGCCGAAATGGACTCACCCGTGCCTGACGGAAGCCGAACCAGCCGGAAAGCCACCTCTGCTCCCTTTTTTTCAGAGGGGTGGGCCGTGTTTCTCTTCCCCCCCCTCCTCCTCCACCCCCCCATGGCCGGCCGCTTCCTGGCTGAACTTTTCGGAAAGTCCGCAAGTGGATTTGGGGTACAGAAGACCCCCCTCTTTCTCCCCCCTCCCTCCATCTTATCCCCTCTCTGGGTTGGACCGATTCCTGCCTTAGCCCAACTTTGAGTTCCTCCTCCCCCCTTTTTTGGGGGGGGGTAGTCTGGAGCCCCCCCAAATCCCACTTCTTAAACAACAATCAAACCAAGGAACCAAGAGGAAAATTCCAATATTTGGCAGCTATTTAATTGAGGATGTATATATATATATATATTTTGGGGGGGAGAGATTTTGAGGAAGGGAAGGATCTTTTCCCTTCTTTTTCTCTCCCCCCCCCCCAAAAAAACTCCATAGGGCTTTTGGGGGGAGGAGGGGGGTTGCAAAAACAACACAACCCCTAGGATGTTTTGTTTCCCTGTTTTTTTCCTTTTTTCTCTTCCTGGATGCTCCCAGGCAGCCGAGGGATGCTGAGACCAGCATCTGTTGCTATGGCGATAGATCAACCCCTCTCTCTCTCTTTCTCTCTCTCCTTTTCTCTTTTCCTTTTCACGCNTGCTCCGATTAGAATCGTGAAAACGGAGCCCGGAATAAATCCGTTTAGAGCAGGACGGATTTCGCGCCGGAGAAAGGAAGGGTATTGTAGGGGGATTTTCTGAGGATCAGGGTTGTGTAGCTGAGGTTGTGGTTGCGAACCCCGTAAGAATCGAACCACACGGTAAAAAATAATAATAATAATAATAAAAGCATTGGATGGGGTTGGGGAGAATTTGAATTTTCTTCTGTCCGACAGCTCGTGGTTCCGGAATATTCCATCCATGGCCTCTTCTGCCTGATGTTCCTCTGTGCCGCTGAATGGGTGACTCTCGGCCTCAACATCCCCCTCCTCTTCTACCACTTGTGGAGGTAAGAGGGAAGCCCCCCTACCCACCCTTTCCCCCTCCCGCCACTGCAGAGGGAACCCAGGCCAGTGAAATGCAGGTGATGGGTTAGTGGAAAATAGCTGTGTGATCTTCCTTCTTTCCTTCCTTCTCTCTCCATCTCTCTATTTTATCTCTTTCCCTGTTTCCTTTCCTTCCTCACTTCCTTCTTTCCCTCCCTCCCTCCCTATTTCTCTTCCTCCCTCTTTTCCTTCCTTCCTCCTCCTTCCCTCCCTCCCTCTCTTTTTCTTTCTTTTCCTTCCTCCCTCTTTTCCTTCTTTCCTCCCTCCTTCTTTTCCTTCCTTCCTCCTGCCTCCCTCCCTCACTTCCACCCTCCCTCCCTTTTTCTTTCTTTTCCTCCCTCTTTTCCTTTTCCTCCCTCTTTTCCTCCCTCCCTTCTTCCCTCCCTCCCTCTTTCCTTCTTTTCCTCCCTCCCTATTTCCTTTCTTCCTCCCTCCCTCTTTCCATCCTTCTTTTCCTTCCTTCCTCCCTCCCTCCCTCACTTCCTTCCTTTCTCCCTTCTTCCTTCCCTCCCTCTTTCGTTCTTTTCCTTCCTCCCTCTTTTCCTTCCTTTTTCCTTCATTCCTCTTTTCCTCCTTCCNATTCTATTCTTATTCTCTATTCTAATTTTCTATTTTATTCGCATTTATAACAATCGCAGTGTCCCGAAAGCACGCCATCCCCTTTTTGTAACCATCTGACAAGCCAAGTTAATATTGAAACTCAATTATCGCATTCACTGCAGTGATTCATTTAACAACGCTGGAGAAGACAGGTTGTAAAACGGGGGCAAAGCTCGCTACACATAAAGGCCCCCATTAGGCACCGAAACCCGGGGCTCCATTGAGATTGTAACGGTGAGGATGGCCTGGAATAAGAATTAGAATAAAACCATCCTTCCCGGGAATTTGCAAATAGGCAGCCATTTTAAAGGCCCCGGAGTTGCGAAGACTCTCCTCTCGTCCCAAAACGCAGGACGTTAAGATAATCTGGAGCAAAAGGAGGGGGGGAAAAAAAGATGATTTATTGAAAATTATTTTGGGGGCCGCCTGCAAAGAAACAGCGTTTCCCCAAAATCCGGCATTGGATTTCCTGCGTCTCCCTCCTGAGTTTTGCAGATGTTGGTTAAAATGCCTGCATAGATTGCCACCTAGCTCCCGAAAAATGAAATTATTATTATTTTTTCCCCTCTTTTATCCACCACCTCTCCTTCTCCACGCTCCGGAGTTCAGCCGGTGGGCGGGAGCAATCTTTAAAATGTACATCAGGCCGGCTCAAAAGGTGTGCCCCCCCCTTCTTGGCCGTACCGATGGGCTCCGAATCCGATGGCGACATCCATTTTCCACCGTGAATTCGCCGGGAACTAACCCTAATCCTAAATGGAATTTTCCCCAAATACATGGGATCGTCTCATGTATTTTGCCGGGAAATGGACATAAGGCCGTCTCGAAAGGCGTGCCCCCCTCCTAACCATACCGACGGGCTCCCAATCCGATGACAATGTCCGTTTTCCTCTCCGAATTCACCGAGAGCTAACCCTAAGTGGAATTTCCCCCAATGTTTTTTCCCCATGTATTTTGCCAGGCAGTTCAATGAATCGTGCCGGATTTCACCACTTTTCGCTAAGCAAATGTGGCTCCCCTTCCCCTGCTGATTTTGCTTCCTGGGATAACCACAACGGTCATAAAAAAAAGGGGGGGTCACGTGATCCCGTTTTGTGACGAGAAGAGGCGACGGGGAAGCGGAATTCACTTAACAACCGTGCGTCTCACTTAAACCGCTTCGGTGCTTCACTTTTAACCCCCGTAGCCAGAGAGGTTCGTAAAATGGGACAAAACACACTTAACGCGCATCTCGCTTAACGGCAGAAATATGGGGTTCAATTGTGGGCCATAAGTCGAGGATTACCAGAACTCTGATCCCTTCCTGGGTGATCAACCTTTGGGGGAAACAGGGATCCTGTTTGGGAACGTCGGGGAAAATTTCAGCCGCTGCCGAGGAAACTTTCTTAAAAATAAAATGCATACAAAACACACCTTCACGGATTTTGTTCAGTTTTATAAACTTTTATCATGCTTGCAAGAAAACCGAAAATCTCTAGAGGAAGCGATCGTAGAAAAAAAACTCCAAAAAACAGATTCTCTTCCTCACCCCACAGAACAACTTGAGTTTTGGGCTCAAAACTCATTTTTTTAAACACTTCAAATTTTAAAATATTGTTTTTTTTCTGTCTCTACCTTGACAACGTAGAGCCAAACGGGATTTATTCTAGATCAGTGTTTCTCAACTTTGAAGATAGTTGGACTACGACTCCCAGAATTCCTCAGCCAGCATGGAATGCTGGGACTTGAAGTCCACCCATCTTCAAGCATGCTGGCTGGGGAATTCTGGGAGTTGAAGTCCGCCCATCTTCAAGCAAGCGAGGTTGAGAAATACTGAAATTGTTCTAGATTGGTGCATCTCAATCTCGGCTGCTTGGAAAACAAGTGGACTTCAACTCCCAGAATTCCCCAGCTAGCATGGAACTCTGGGACTTGACGTCCATCCATCCTCAAGCATGCTGGCTGGGGGATTCTGGGAGTTGGAGTCCACCCATCTTCAAGCAACACTGTTTTAGACCCACAATCTATGCAGACGGCAAGAATAGAAAAATCCGTATTTTGTGCGAGAAAGGATCAAAACACAACCAACTCAAGGAAATCCCGAATAACAGAACTGTCTCTATAAGGAGGACCCCAAATCTACCCCCTTTCTTTCTTTCTTTCTTTCTTTCTTTCTTTCTTTCTTTCTTTCTTTCTTTCTTAAAAAAAGGAGGACACAGATTTCGGAGTGGTGGACAAGCGTCAACTTGGACAGCTGGCCGCCCTCCGTTGCTCCTGGGCGGGAGTCCCGAGTGCGAAGAACCAGCTGCCTTTCGCTTCATTCTTCAAAGGGGACGGATCCCCTTGTTGTCCTCAGTGGAAAGCGCCCCCCCCAAAGGGAGGGGGGCAGGAAGAGACAGAACTAGGGGAGTGGTGAAATTTCGGGGGGGGGGGGTGGAGGGAGGGGGTGAACCAAAACAGAAAAAAAGGAGGAAGTGCGCCCCCAAAGTCTCATCTCCTCTGTTTAATGCACCAATTGCGCCGTCAACCAGTACAGAACTAAGGGCTGGAAGGCAGCGGCGCCTAGCGTGACGTACATCTGCGCCCGGCCGGTGGTCCGGCTCAGTCCGTCTTGCACCACGGAAGTAAGGATCTTCATCCGTAGAGAGCGAACCTGGGGGGACACAGACAGACAGACATCAGGAGTACGTTGAGGTGAGCACGTCGTCCCTCGACTGTGTCTCTCGGCGCCTAGCTGGCTTGAGCGTGGAATTCCCACGCACCAAAGGGATGGGATATGAAATCTATCTCGGCTGGAGTTTGTTTTTAACTTGGCTTTCATGCCTTTGAAATAACTCAAGGTGATGAACCTATTGAATCTTCCTTCCTCCCCCTCCTCTTCCTCCTCCTCCTATTTCCCCTGCACAACAACCCGGGGAGGTGGGTTGGGCTGAGAGAGGGAGAAACTGCTCCCCCCAAGTCACCAATTGATCGGCATCACCCTGAACACGGCCGGGACTCACCATGAAATACATAAGAGAACAGGAAGCCCACGCCAGAGTGATGTAGTAGCCGTTGAGGCCAAACACCAAGCCCCCGACCACCGTGAGGATCATCCTGGAGAGGAAAAGCAAAGGATTGTGTATGTTCCTGTGTGCGATTAACACATCATAACCAATTGGGCAGGGATTAACACTTGCACCCAAAAGCAACGTTTCTCTCAATGTTGGAATTACAGGAATGGAAATTACAGCAAGAACCTTTATTTAACGGACATCTGATTCAACGGACAGTAAATCCCTCTGAAATAACAGACGCCATCCGTAACAGTCTTAAGGGGCGCTTAAATTTAATTTTTAATTTAACAAACCTTTATTTAACGGACATCTGATTCAACGGACAATAAACCCCTCTGAAATAACGGACGCCATCCATAACAGTCTTAAGGGGCGCTTAAATTTAATTTTTAATTTAACAAACCTTTATTTAACGGACATCTGATTCAACGGACAATAAACCCCTCTGAAATAACGGACGCCATCCATAACAGTCTTAAGGGGCGCTTAAATTTAATTTTTAATTTAACAAAGTTACATTTCTGCTCTATTCACGCAAGAGAGGCCTTGAGGCTCTTGGCACAACAACATCATACTGCATTTAACAGACTCTCCTAATTAGTCCGTTAAATCAGGAATTCACTGCCGATTGGAAACAAGAGTCTAATTCAGCGAAGCTTGGGTCAGTGGGGGCTTCTGGGAAGCGGAGTCTAATCCGGGAAGCCCCTCCCAACTCACCCAACATATTTGTAGCCGCAGTAAGCCAGAAGATCAAACGTGCCCAGATCACTTTGGACGGTTGCAAGGTAGAGACTCAGAAGAAGGGCGAGGACTTCGATCACCATCCACACAAAGGCCGTGCTGGCACACATCCCGAGGACTTCCGGGGAAAACCTGGCAGAAAAAATGAAGCCTGAACGATTCACGGTCCGGCTTCCAACCTGCTGTGGCCCGCCAGCAGCCAGCGGAACTGGCATGAGAGTCGGACAGCAAGGAGGTTGGGGAGGAAGATGGGCCAGTCCTGGAGTCTGGGGAAGGCTCGGATGAGGGCTCTGCGTTGGGAGGCAGAGAGGGGGCCGAGGCCGTCTAGCAGTTCTCAGCTGCCTTCGGAGCTAGACAGCAGTGAGGCAGAAGAACAGCTGAGAAATCAGAGTCGACTTGGGAGTACAGCCACAGGTGGGCAGTGAATGGCCCCTCCCATAGGACATAAAAGAGGAGCGAAAGAGGAGGGGGCTTTTGCAGGAGACAATTCATTCGTTCGTTCCTTCAGGAGTGTGAGGATCTGTCCGTGAATCTCAGAGACTCTATCCCCCCCAGAGTCTTTCCTTGCACAGCCCCTCATTTGGGAAAATATTTCCATGGCAGCTTTCCAAGCTAGATAAGGTCTGTGGTCATAAATACTCCTTTGAAAGACTGTTTGCCAGGCCTTGGCTGAAGGGGAAGGAGAGGAATTCACATGCGTGTAATAAAAGGAGTTTTGTCGGGACCAGGACGCTGCCTCGTGCCTTTTGGGGGAAACCTAGCTCAGAACACAACCAAACAACACACAACAGACAACACACAACTATCAGCGTGCGACAACACAGTTGCGCAAACGCCAACAATACAGCCAAGTATCCCAGCCTGATAAACCAAATCAATGAGAGGGGAAGCCACATTCCCCACAGTCACACGAGCAAACTCCAGGCGCCTGGCAACTGCTTCGTATTTATGACGGCGTCCCGGGGTTACGCAATCCCCTTCGCCGACCTCCTGACGAGCAACGTCGGCGGGGGGAAGACAGATTCACTTCACGACTGTGTGACTCAACAAGGGTGATTCACTTAGCAACGGTGGCAAAGGTCGGTCGTAAAAGAGGGTGAACCCCACTTAGCAACTTAACGACACACATTTGGCGCTCCCTTGTGGTCGTATGTAGAGGACCCATTGTAAATCTGTTGCCTGCCAAATTGTACATTATGCTTAGCCTTAAATCTTGCATCCATTAACTCAAATTCACCCCTAATCTTCACTGTTTGCCGTAAGAGGCAAAACTGGGAAAGTGGGAAGAAATTTTACTCACCTTTTCTGTATCCCAAGCGCCATTCCAGCCAGCAAAATATACGTAATAAAGGCCATACCTGTGAAGGAGAAAATATATTTATTTATTTTAAAAGCTTCCAGATTTTGGAGTGTGAAAGGCTTTTTTAAAATTAAAAAATAATAATAGTAGAAAAGCTACAATATTGTGATTTTTTTTTCCGAGCCGTGTCCATCGGGGAGTTTAGTCTATCGGTTTGATTTCCCAAACGCTTCGATGAATTAAAAATAAAAAACTGAAGTCCTTCATTAGACGGAGCCCTGCGGTATTCTTTCCGTCCCATTAAACGAGTCGAGATTGAAAAAATAATAATAAAATTCCTCCCCACCAAAACAAACAATTATCTCTTTTGGCAGCCAAATGCCACTTATCCAATCGATTTAATCTGATTCCTAAATTAGATCCATTTTATGCACTTGTGTTTGAAAGGGTTGAGGCTGCCCAACTCAAAACACTGCAGAGCACAGCCGTAAAAAGGAAAAAAAATGATAACTCAAAATGTAAAAAAAAATAAAAATGACTCGTACACTTCAATATATGATATATAAATCTAATCATCATAAAAGTCTAATAAATATCTACATGGCCCGTGAATTACGGCTGGTCATTTAATGACTGTTCAGAGTTATGATGTTCTCAGAATAAAGAATAGAATAGGATAGGATGGGAAAGGATAGGGTAGGATAGGAAAGAATAGAATAGAATAAATAAGAAATAATAGAAATAGAAATAAGAATAGAATAAATAAGAAATAGAAATAGTAAGAATAGAATAGAATAAAAAGAATAGAATAGAATAAATAAGAAATAATAGAAATAGAAATAATAGGAATAGAATAGAATAAATAAGAAATAATAGAAATAGAAATAANGTAGAGGGTCCCCTGCTTGAGCTGGGGCTGGACTAGAAGACCTCCAAGGTCCCTTCCAGCTCTATTCTGATTGAAATAGTAGAGGGTCTCCTGCTTGAGCTGGGGCTGGACTAGAAGACCTCCAAGGTCCCTTCCAGCTCTAGTCTGATTGAAACAGTAGAGGGTCTCCTGCTTGAGCTGGGGCTGGACTAGAAGACCTCCAAGGTCCCTTCCAGCTCTAGTCTGATTGAAATAGTAGAGGGTCTCCTGCTTGAGCTGGGGCTGGACTAGAAGACCTCCAAGGTCCCTTCCAGCTCTAGTCTGATTGAAATAGTAGAGGGTCTCCTGCTTGAGCTGGGGCTGGACTAGAAGACCTCCAAGGTCCCTTCCAGCTCTATTCTCTTCTCTCCTATCCCATCCCAAGGTCACCTGACAGCTCCTAGAGAAAGTCAATGGGGGGGGGGAGCTGGATTTGCACGATCCGCTTAACAACTTTCAGCAGTTTGCTTAACAACCATGGGGGCGGAGAAAGGTCGTCGAATAGGGTACCAAGTCGATTCACTGTACAACTTGGGATGGATACCGTCGCTTAGCAGCGGGGAAAACCCGGCTCCCAATTGTAGCCGTGAAGTCGAGAACTCCCTTGGGTCTCCGAGCCTCCCTCCTCCGGGACCTAGGAGAGGACACCCTCCCCTCCCTCCCCTGTGATTCTGGGCGGGCGGATCGGCTTCTCCTCCTCGCCACTTCTGCGCCTCCCTTCCTCACCTTCTGGAGATCGTCCTGCAGCTCCTTCAGTTTGAGCTCCAAGCAGAGGACTTTGTCGGCCAGGCTGAGCGCGTGGTGAGACCTGAAAAACGGTTGGGCAAGCAAAGGAGGGGCCAGAAAAATCGGGCAACACATGTCAATCATGAGTCAATCTAGGCCTGCAACAACACGCACACTCCGGGAAATGCGCCTCCCCCCCAACGTCTCCCGCACCAGCGGCGAGCCTTTGGGAACGCTTTATTCCCCCCTTCTGGGCCTCGAAAACAATGCGGGTAGTCCTCGACTTATAACCGCCCGCTTACTGACGGTTGAACGGCACTGAAAAAAAGAGGTTTACGACCAATTTTCACAGGCTGACGGGATCAAACTTTGGATGCTGGGTACCTGATCCAGATTTATGACAGTTCCAAAAGGTCCCCTTTTGCGACCTTCTGATCAGCAAAGTCAAGAGGGAAGCCATATTCACTTAGCAACCGTGCTCCTAACGTAACAGCTGCAGTGATTCGCTTAACAACTGTGTTCCTAACTTAACAGCTGCAGCAATTCATTTAACAACCGTGTTCCGAACTTAACAGCGACAGCGATTCGCTTAACAAGCGTGTTTCTAACTTAACAGCTGCAGCGATTCGCTTAACATCCATGTTCCTAACTTAACAGCTGCAGCGATTCACTTAACAACCATGTTCCGAACTTAACAGCTGCAGCGATTCACTTAAGAACCATGTTCCTAACTTAACAGCTGCAGTGATTCACTTAACAACTGTGTTCCTAACTTAACAGCTGTAGCGATTCACTTAACAACCATGTTCCTCACTTAACAGCTGCAGCAATTCACTTAACAACC